GTCTAAGCAGAACTTGATAAGAGTTAGCAAGCGCAAGGTAAGCCAGCTGAAAAGGGGACAGAGCAGACACAATCCTACCTTGACAAGTGTTCATGATGTTCTTTTCCTTGGTTATCGGTGACGCCAACTGTGGTGCGTCACGTTCTTCCCGGGGGTATATGGCAGAGCAATATTCAGGCGATAGAGGAAGGACATTTTTTCAAAAGTAATGTCCCTCTGCCATTGTTGCAGCCATCTTATTTGTTTGTTTTTCACCAGTCTAAGGAAGGAAAGAGCCTGTTAGTGGTAGAGAGGGAGTGAAATTTCCACCCCACAGCGTTTAGGACACATTGTTCTGTACACGAAATTTGCTGTGCTTCTTGGAGAAAGGTTGCACAAGATCAGTAGTACATGCCCTTGAGTTTCCTTAAATCATTCATTTTGTGGTCCCCTAAAGTAATATGAACTCCCAAGGGATTTAAAATCTGCTGTCTTTTGTTACCATGGTGTTCTACCACTGTTACGCTGTTAGTTAAATAATACCTGGGACTTTAGGGTACAGCTTCCATCAGTCAACCACACAGGTTCATTTGCAGCTGGGCCCATTGCCGGTGGGTTTCAATGGAAAGCCGGCTGGGCGTGCTGTAGGATGAGGTGGCATTATCCTAAGGTGACCCTGCCCATCCTGAATTCCATTACCCCACACCCCCACCTCAAGTACACTGCCCTTCTGAGTTTGCAGTGCCAATCAGGCTGTGCATTTATTGACTAGTGTGAGATAGGGCAACTGCTGACCTTGCTGTAATCACATGAGGAACTTCAGGTGAAGGCAGGATTTGCAAATTGCTCTATTATGTCCGTTATTAGGGCTGCAAAGAAAAGCAGCCTTTGATTTGGTAAGCAAGAAACGAGGGGTCACAGGGCCCACGTGTACTGGGCATTGTCTTAAAATCAAGACCTCCTCCTTTCTTCAGGACACCGTGTGAAAAACACGCTTATTCTAGCGACCAGTCTGTGCCAAGTTTTTTTTTTAAAGAAAAAATAACAAGAAATGTAATCTCTAAACATGAGATCTAAAATCTTTCAGGAATCTAACCAGGATGTCTACTTTTTTTTTTGCACAGCCCAAAAAAAAAGCTTTAAGCTTGTGTTTTTTGACATGTATGTCCACTAAAAAATTTGGTCTGTGCCAGCCAGCCCGTGTAGTGCAGGGTTACATTTTCTTTGCATGGATCTGACCAGCAGTTTTAAATAATTGATAATACTGCAAGGCATGTTGAACCTCAGATATATAGGGGAATGTTTTGCCATTAATTCCTAAGTGTAAAATAGGCTGCATTCTGAGAGAATAGCCCAACCCTGGACTGGAGGGCTTGAACTCCAGTGTGTTTGGGACGTTGCTGTTGAGCTTTTGAGCTCCACTGAACACCTTGCTCTATAAATGGCTCATCACTGTAAATGAGAATTTGTTCTCAATAGGTGTACTTGGTAAAAAAGTGGAATAAAAATGTCAAGAAATATGCCGTCTTTGGGTGTCACATACCCATTATGATGTTTATTAACATGCTTTGTTCGTTTATGGATTTTTCATTCCAAAGCTAGTCCTTCGCCGTGGATTAGAAGAAAGAAGGAAGCAGGAAAGAGACTGCAGATTGTTTAACAATTGTTCTGGCTCTTAGTGATCGTGGCCTCTGAGAAAAATCCGCAGTTGGGTTTTATTAGCTAGGGACACTCTGGATTATATCCGATGACTGTTTTTAATGATTACTCCACAAGTGAAACAGATTGGTATTCACTGGTGCTTATAGGGACTCGGGTTCATGTGCGGTTTAATTAACGGATCACCACCTTTCTCTGTCTCCTTAATGTGAAGGGGCATCTTCATCTGGATTTCCACGTGGGAATCATTTGACATGTATTATAGCCCTTCTCATCCTAGGCAACACTTAACCTTTTTAAAAAAAAAAAATGATTTCCATCTCCATGCTGCTGCGCCGGTTGTGGGAAAAGGCAACTCGGTTCTCAATAATGATATTTGTCCTAGAACTAGCATAACATGAAGTATTAATAATGTTTCACTGAGCAAAAACAAGCCTGCTAAATGAGCAATGTCCCAAGGGCACTAAAGGCACTGACATTCTGTGTACATTAACACACTCTTTGTGCTTCTTTGCTACCTTTTGTATTTGTGTTTGTTTGTATTGTCTTTTCCTTTATGTGTGTTGTTTGGTTTCTCTTGCAGTGTCTTTAAAAACGAGATTTGATCCCTTGAGAAACAAGGTCATTTTTCATATCGGCAGCCAGGTGGCCTGGCGCTCGGAACACCTGCTTCAGGTGGGAAATATGAGGTGGTTTTGAACGGTTGGATGGACGACGCTTGCGCTTGTCTTGTCTAGTATTTTGCGTGGGACTCTGTACTCCACTGTCTCATGAGATTTACAATTATAACTCATTTCGCTGCTGGAGTCGAGGAGTTATAGCTAATTTCGTGTTTCCTCTAGAATGATTTGTTTTAATTCAGCTCTCTGAAGCAGGATCAAGGTGTGACGCAGAGGGCCATATGGCAGAGGTCTTGTGTCTGTACATACATTGGAGGACCTCTGGAGATTTTTCTTAGGGGACTCAAAAATCCTGGGCAATTACAAATTGACTCCGATGTTTTTGTGGAGACAGATATTTTAGGCCAGTCCACGCTGTTACAAGCATAGACATTTCCTTGATTTCTCTGCCAGAGGAGATGCTCCTGTAACATTGCTGAAGGCGACTGGTTCTTGTTTAGTATCCCTAATTATTGTCAGGCACCTGGTTAAAAGCAATATTACCTGTTTATTTTGACAGTTGTCATTTGATGTATTTCAAATGAGGGCGGTCTGTTATTTGTCGACAGATTGTTTCATAACTGTGAAAAAAGTGCTGTGTAATGAGTCTTCATCCTGTTCTGGAAGCTGTTGCAGAGAGCTGGCGTCATGCAGTGGTTAAGTGGGACTCAAACCCACAACTACAGACACTGCTGTTGTCCCGTTGAGCAACGTCATTTAGCCCAGTTCCTCCAGTCTCAGCAACAGACTGGTGTCCCATCTGGGGGAGGGGGGGGTCACATGCTCTCTGCTACACGTAACGCAGACACCAGGAAGTACCACACAGTACTTATGCCAAATCCAAAACCATCCCTGCCCTTCTTTACTCTTTTTTTGTTTCTTTATTCTGTTCTTAAAAACTGGGAAGAGTGCTTTTTCACTAAACCCATTAGCACATATTCACACCAGAGCTTCTACATCAGCTAGGAACTGGAATCCGTGGGATCGATTGTGTAACCGCCTGGAACAGCTTTGTGGTCATTTCCCCCTGCTGTTAGTCTCCGTGATAATTAGGTTGACTCAGCAGAAAGGAGCCTGCAGTATGAGAGACAGCAGTGTAGGAGAGGGTCAGACAGCCTCGTGTATTAACATTGGTCTTCATCAGCATGGAAAATAATAGCAGCAGCAGTGTTAAGTCTTAATATTCAATTGCATACATTTTTAAATTCTTTAAGTTCCTGGGTGAATCGGAAAAATTGGAGTGTGAAAAAGGTACAAGGTTCACCTGTGAAAAAGACACGTTTCCGTACCGCAGTTGGTTTGCATCAAAGAAAACATCGTAGGTGCAACAACAAAAAGAAAAATTCTTGAATTTCTGCTTTGGTACATAATGAGAAGAGTCTTTACCACTCTCTCCTGTAAAGTTCTGATGTCTGTATGACGCTAGATGGCACGGGCACGTGATGAAGTTGTGACATTTTCTCTGCTTTGCAGTGTATTGCAAGGCCAAATCCTTTCTTCCTTTTCTGCAGTGAATAACATTATTAGAAATAGTTTTTCTGATACAGCAGTATGTTGCCAAACAAGTGTCTTTAAGTATTGTTAATGAGTCCCTTGGAAATGTACCAGAGATCTGTGAGAACATTAAAAAGTTATTTCTCTTTCTACAGGAAGCTCATCTGAGCTCAGATCAATTCCCTGCTAGGAAGCTGCATCCTGTGGGCTTGTGTGTTGTCTTTGCCAGGACTTCATCACGATATGCAGCACCACCCTGGAGCTGCTGCAGTACATGTCTTATGAGAGTCTGAACCTGTTGGTTATTAAACTGAAAAACTCTGTGAACCCTGCGGAAGTCTTAGCATGGCCCTGAGGAATGGGATAGTTCGTAATTCGCCCTGATTCATATTTAAGTCATTCTTTGTATGCTTTAGCCTGCTGCTGCCAACCTGCCTACCAGCACTCAAGTCTGAATCACTGACACAAACCTGCAATTCTCTGGCCGCTTCGAGATGAATAGCTTCACTCTCTGTACAAGCAGACTTGCAAAGGAGGTTATTTTGCTAACAATGGGGAAAAAACGTATATGTCAAGGTCATGATCAAATCTAAAGGTTTCTAGATTTTTTTCCTGAGCTGGAAGACGGCGGCCGTAAGTCTGCAACAGGAGGCTCAGAAATGTTAATTCTTGCAGTGTGTAAGAGCTGTGATCGCATGAGACCGCCAAGCGCGGACTGTCACCCAGCCAGCATCGTAGCTGTGGCTCTTGCTTCTTTGTGCCTGAGGGCTGCGTGAGGTATTTGTGCGTTCCCACCCAGAGCCTAAATCACGAGTGTGCCGTCCGTCTGTCTGGGCCGCTTGAATGAAAAAAGTCTCGTTCTTAAGTGGGATCGGTTTATTGTGCTTCAGCAACACCGCCATCTCATCCACCTTGATTTCCGCTGTCGGTCAGAGGTCCGAGAGGCAGAGGTTCACTCCGGCTGCTGGGCTGCTGGGAAGCGACAGGGAGAGGCTGCTGACGCTAACGTTTTATGTGGAGTCAACCTTTCGACATAACAGGGGTATCGAGTCGGATAAGGAATACCAGAAGGAAAAGGGAGGGCAAGCAAAATCACAGACATTTTATTCCTTTTTCTAAAAGTCAACTGGGAACTTACCCAGGGCAAAAAACACATCTGTGGTAGTCCTGTACGTAGACGTGTTTCCTGACGCAGTTTCTCTTCCCCAGGTATCTGTATTAAATGTGGGAAGGGGGTGTATGGAGCCAGTCAAGCCTGCCAGGCCATGGGCAACCTGTACCACACCAACTGCTTCACCTGCTGCTCCTGCGGTAAGTGCCTTTCTCCCTGTTTGGCAAGTGAAAGAGACGTTTCCAGAGCCTAGGACCTGTTTAGAGACCTGGGGCTTTGTCGTTAACGGTTTGGGACGGGGGCTGTGCTTGCTAATTGGAGAGCTGCGTAATGCTCACTGCAGTGCCAGCTGGGTGGACTGAGCAATGTTGGCCAGCAGCCTGATGAGATGAAGGCAGGCTGGTCGAGTTGAGGCTGGAAAAGGCCACGGACATTGGCGTTTAGAAGTTTAAACTGTCCTTGAACGTCATGTTGGTTGTACGTGGTCCAAGGTACATTTCACTGTCCGCTGGTGCCCATGTCTTCACACCTACACCTTCAATTCTGCACAGCCCTATAGAAACCTCCTGTGTCTGAAAGAGCTCTACCATAGCCCCGTTCCAGAGGAATGCCGCTTGTTGAATGCACCCCAGGATTCCTCATCCAGAGAGAAACTGTGGCACGGGCTTGAACTGGGAAGGATATCATCCGAGCTGTGTGTCTCCTCCAAGCAAGCTGAAATGTGTGAAATAACAAATGGACTGACTGGCAAAGCATGTGCTGGGAGGAAACATGTGTCATCCCTACTCATTATTCGAGTAGAAGGGTCGTGGTATGATGATGCACTGAAAATAATGACCTATGTAAGAATAATGTACGTGAATGTCATATACACATCCCTGAGACTAATCAGACCAGTCACAATTTCCTCCAATAACTTGATGTCTTTAAAGTCACCATCCTAATATATACATTATCTTTAGAAAACGGTAAAACATTGTTGGTTAACATGATTTGCCTCTTTACACACATTTTTAAGTCATGTTTTTCCTTGACTCAAAGTCAGTTAACTTGCTGTGCAGTTTGAAACTGCATTCTGAACTATGTCTTAATGAATTCTGATGCATCTTCTCAGGAATTAAAAAAACCTAAACAGTAAGAACAAGAAACTTGCATTTTGTAACCTGCAGCCTGTCTTGGACATTATGTCTGCAGCAATAAGGTGCAAAGAGTGCTTTTTAAAAAAACAAGTGTGGGTCGTTCTTGTTTTAATGTAAAAAGTTGCACTATGCATAGTGTCAGATTACGTGGGAGGCACATTTGCATGGCTGACAGAGCTGCTGCCTAGTGAGATTTAGAGCCCTGTGTTCGAGTCCATGCCTTCTGTTTGGAGTCTGTGTGAGTTTGTTCCAGGTGCACCACATTCTAAAGACATGCTGGCTAGGGAGAGCAATGGCTCTAAATGGTTCCTGTATGTCCTGCTATAAACTGGCATCCAATCCTGGTAAATATTTGAGGGAATAGTCCCACCTTGGAGCTTTGAGTTTCCAGGATAGGTTCCAGGTCTGTGTGAACCTGGAACCTTGCTCATGACGGTTGGGTGGATAGTTTTTGGTTGCCCTGTTCTGATTCTGAATGCCTTTGTTACTTACATCAGCTGGTAGCTCAGTCTGTCGCTTGAAAACAGTCCGTTTTCTTTCTGAAAAGCTTTTAAAAACCCCACAAGCACAGAAAAGCCACCCCTGCGCTGGGAATAAGACAGCCAGCTGGCGTTCTGTGCTCGTATGTCTAATAAGCAGCTCGCTCCTTCCTGAGTGGTTGTGCCTCAGAAGGCGACAGCAGTCGGCTACGGTTTTGTGCTCAGAGCTGGACGGACCCTGCGTTCTGGTCAGCATGCGTAATGGGTTAACTATACAAAGAGAGCCACTGCTGCAGAAATATATGAAAAGGTTTGAAAATCAGCGTGGTACTGCCTTATTTCTGAGAGCAAAGAGGCTTGCTGTTACTGAAAGAGCATTCTGCATGGTTGTACACAAGAGCACGTACAGTAACTACCTGTGGGTGAGTGCACTGTGCAGCAGTTGTGATCTGGATTAATAGAAGTGAGGGAGTCATTGACATGTGAATAATTGCTCCTGCCCATTAAAATAGCTTTGTTTTGAGCAAGTGGAAACAATATAAGATATTATCTGGATAGTGCAGTACGCCGCTCTGTCCACGGCCAAGACTTGTTTTTTGAAACGGCTCTTTGTTTTGTCTTGTTCTGCCTGATTAAATACTGAAATCGTACACGCGGAAAGAATGGCCGACCTGCTGGACAGTGAAGCCCCTGGCTGGCGGGGGGATCGCACTGCTGTGTCCGGGGTCCTTCAGTGTCTTAAAGGCCACCGCTGCCCTCCGTCAGTGACTTGAAGAAAGCGTTTCAGTGCGTGATTGATGACAGGGGTGTGTAATTCACCTGAGTTCAGATGAACAGCTCCGAGGCTGGCAGCGGTTTTATTCAAGGCCTTCTTTATGATGTCTTTAACCTTGCAGCGTGGCATGCCCCCCCTGCAGACACCCCCCCCGGCTGTGTTCCCGACAGCCTGTCTGGGCCCTAATGACCAGACTTTGCTTTGTTTATGTTGCTGCTTTCTCTCAGGCAGCGGGACCCAGAGCTCTACGCGGTGTTTGAACTGCCCACGATAGCTATGCCAGGAATGTTGTCCCCCCATCTCCCGCCCCCATCACCCTCCCATGGGGGTCTTAAATCAGGCCGGAGACACAAATTGTACCCGGGCCACTTATCACCGGGGCAGGCCTGGCCTGGCTGCTGTGTAAACACGCGTGCATTCCTTCACGTTCCGCACGGAGGGGCCCCCTGGCTGGGGCTGGCCGGTGAGCAGGGAGCGGCCCCGCGCCGTCCAGCCCCGTCCAGGCCCCGCGCCGTCCAGCCCCGTCCAGCCCCCGCGCCGTCCAGCCCCTGCGCCGTCCAGCTTCCATTTGCAACCAAACAGTGGACAGACAGGGAATCCTAATGGAGGTTTTGCTCGTGCCATAAGGTTACTTTTCGGTGACCGCTGTATTATAATGCTTTCAGATCCTTTGTCACACAGGTTGAAACTACTGCCCGACAAAATGATCACAGTGTTGGCTGGATTGCTCACAGCCGTTTTCTGCAGTCTGGTTCAGATGCTTAACAGTCAGAATTTTTTAATAATTTAATGATAAGAGACAAAGCCTGGATGGCATGGTGGCACAGTGGTTAACATTGTTACCTCGAGGCGCAGGGGCCCCGGGGTCGATTCCTGACCTGGGGTGCAGTCTGTGTGGAGTTGGTGGCCCCTTCCCCGTTCCTGTGGGTTTCTTCCCACAGTCCAGACCCCGAGCTGCAAGAAGCGATCAGTTGATTAGGAAATGGATGGGTGGAAGGAACAAAATGAAATGTAAAAATATTTTCAAAGACCATTTTGTTTCATTTTTAATTTATGGGAAAGCTTGTTTTTGTTTACTGTAGTTATGTCCACATCACTGTGAGTGTGTGCGTTTTCAGAACTGACATTAAAACAGGTAACGCTGTTTATGAGAGACTGAATCAGAGTCAAGGGACGTGCCTTGAGAGATCGCAAGGCTTTTGCTTATGTGCAACAGAACCTGATGCAGAGTTCCTCCAGTGTTTAAAATAGTCGTCTTCAGATTGTTTAAACTTGTAACAAGTAAAATTCCAGAGGACAGAGGCCAATACTGCAGATTTAACTAATGTCTGGTTTTCTACAGAATATAATGTCCTACACAGAATATAAAGTCTGTGATGTCCGTGAGGTCTTTCATGCAAAGTACCCAGTGAATCAGTAGGCAGTAGGAATGTCTCATTCCTTACAGCAGCCACTCCCTGAACTCCATCGCTCGGCTTGGATCCTATACTTTGTGTCATTTTCCAGATGCTCTCCCCACTTCTGTCAGAAGCGCTGAACTTGTTGGGTAAACTGGCGGCAGATCTGTCCAGCCTGCCTCCCCCCTCGTTCAGTTGTGCAAGTCATTCCTCAGGCTGGGTGGATGCTGAGATAAGTAGGGAGAGGGAAGATGTTTTATCTTATGAGTTACGACAGGAAAGGCCCAGCAAGCCCCTGCTTGCTCACCGCACAGGATCTGAAATTCCCTCTGCAAAGGAAGCCGCAAGCTCAGTGAATCATTTTCATCAGCATCCCATACCAGGCATTTGGCGTTTGGCGGGCTGTCTGCAGGTGATAAAGGCTTGTTTGTTCAGGGGAGAGGGCGGACAGTGGAGATTAGAGGCCTTGAAAGGGAATTTCTTTCAGGGACTGGGAGAAGATATTTCTGTGGCTGCTCCAGAAACAGCCTGAAAACTGCGTTGATAAAAGAGCCAGAGTCCTGGACAGATACAAGGGGCTGTTCATCTGTAGCCCTGTTATGTAGCCCACTGTCCTGTTTGATTGGATGTGTGTGTATTTTAGTGATCATCCCAGACTTACAATTAGAGTATGTGATTTCTAGGCAAATCTCATATACTGGAGCTCAGTTATAAAGAGAATTGTAAAAAAAAAACTCTAGTAGTTAACTTGGACCCCGAGTAGTGATTAAGATCTCATAACCTGCACCTCTTCTTCGTGTGCATCTGTCTGAGGAGAGAAGCAGCAGACTGTCTGGAAATAAGCAGCCTTGAGTCTAGAGTCTTCTTTGGTAAACATTGGTTACACCTCGAAAACAACTGGCAGTGAAATTAGGTTTTTTTTAAATAAAGCAGAATCACTGGCTTTCCATTAACAGTTGCAAAAGCGAGTTGATGTATTTGTGTCATTTTCTGAAGGATTCTCAGGTTTCCAATTTTAAAATAAAACAGTGGATAGATGTGCCTCTTTAATTTATATAGGCAGAGATTTAAGGTTTGGCACTGCAAGTTAATACAATTCACATTTTTAGTGTACCCATTTTCAAGGAAGTCAAAGAAACACTGACATAAGTGAACTCTGGATCTTGAAAAGCCTCCCTTTTTCTTAGTCTTTTAGCCACTGGCACTGGAAGCCAGCTCTTTAAAGGGCCTTGTTGTGTCTTGGTTAAGACCTTCTGTTTATTCTCTCCAGCACAAATGAGCACACCAGATATGTGGCCTTCACATGAGTTTATCAGCAACACTGGTATTCAGAGTTGGTCCAGCTTGCTTTCACACTAGAGTGTTTTAGCTAGTTAGAGAACTATAGGTCACATTTCCTACGTAATTATC